TATATATATATATATAAATATATATACAAAAATAGATATAGACATAGATATAGATATAGATATAGATATAGATGTAGATATAGATATAGATATAGATATAGATATAGATATATAGATATAGATATAGATATAGATATAGATATAGATCTATATAGATATATATATAGATATATATATAAATATATATATATGTATATGTATGTATATACCATATAAAAATATTTATAGTTACATAGTTACATAGATACATATACCAAACTCTTCATTAATGCGCACCTTCAAAAGCTCCAGGCAGACCAAACCAGTCACCGCACTGGTTGTAGTGGCAATGGCTGGGATGATCTTACCCGCAATACCCTTGGTAGTGAAACGGTCGGCATTTACGATACCGTAGTTGGTGGCACGCAGATTGGACATGGCCGTAATAAAGTCGATGTGGAAATTGCTGTCATCGTCCTATAAATATAATGCAGAAATACGATTGGATGAGAGTAGTGTCTGGTGTCAACGTGATGTAATCGAAGTCGGTTTAGAAGCATACGAAAGCCTCAAGTCCCATAATTCATTGGAAAACTACCTCAACACCAGAATTGTATTCATATATTCTCAAAACCAGCTACAATACTCTGCGACCCACAGATCCAGCTGAAAATCCCTAGCCTTTCAATAATAAATGCCCGTAATCTTTCACCTGTTGACCATATATGGAACTCGCCTTCTCCAAGCCCAGTTGGGAATACTTAAAACAGAAGTCCTCACGGAAACCGACATTCATTCACAATATATATACATCCGTAAAATTGGACTTCTTGGTCACAAAATAAACTATCATCTCAAGGTCAGTCGGAAGCACTTTTTATCCCGCATATCGTGCTAGAATGAACGTTATACCAAATCTTCTTTGTCAAAATCACCTGTGAATACTCCGCGACCCACAAGCCATGATAAACCAGAACATCCGATGCAGAAAAAAAACATCCTAGAAAATGCTTCACTTATACACAACACAATGAGCCATTCGTTACCCACAAATCATATCAAAACGATATCCCATTCCTCCCCTAGTAAAATGTAGTTGCCCACAAATTATGTCTAAAATGACACACTATTTCCCATACCGTATACATAGCCTTCTAACTGGAATGTTGAGGACATATTCACCCTACGTTCTCAAAACCAGCTAGGAATACTCTGTAGCCCACGAACCCAGCTAGAATAACACTATTTTCTATACAATATAAGAATGTACTCCTACCTTCTCAAAATCAGCTGGTGATACTTTGTAGCCCGCAAAGTCAGCACGCGGCGGACATGTGCCCAGGAGTAGTTGTAAATCGGACTTATCTGATTCGTCCTCAGTAGGGGTTTCGTTGCTGTCAACTTGGATCTTTACGCCTTCCTGTGAAGATGAGAAGAAAGACAAAGATTATCAGTATGTACGTATCGTGATATAGCGATAAGAAAGGCTCATATGACGATACACCCGATAAGTAGTACAAATAGTCGAGTTTGATAACAATAACTGTCAATTGGGATGGATTACATCATACTGTTTAGAAAACAAGACAGGCACTGTTTATTCAGAGACCAGTAGCTTTCTGGAGACGGTTATATGTATATATATATTATGTATATGTATATATACGAAAATGTATGTGGTATA